TTTTAACTAAGATTGTTAATCTTTTGTGCTCATTTTTTTTCTTTTTAGTGAAAGGTTGAATGTCAGAGCGAAATTCAACATTTTTCCAGCCCTGAGGTTAGTAGATCTGGATCCCTTTTTTCCAGCACACTGACATGAGTGATGTTGATGTTCTCATCTCACGAGCGGAAGCAAAGCTTTTAGGTCTGTGAGTTGGATAAGAATGTACACAAAGACAAAAACAAAAGATAGAGGTCGACGAGGAGTGAGCAACAGCAAACTGAAACAAAGACGCAGGAAGTGACTAAGAACCAGGAGCGTAACATGACACCCAACGAAAGCACAGCGCGTCATCACCTCGATCTGTGAAACCCTTGTTTGCTCTGTTGTGTTGACATCACCTAGGCCCCAAATTAGTGGTGCAAACCTGTTCTTCAACTGTATTCACACACTGAACACATTGTTCTTTGTTTAATTATTATTTCCCCAAGGATGGGGAGATTGCCTGAGTTGCTCAATCGAGGTGATTGCCATACCTCAAAGATGAATGGCAAGCATTGTGTTTCATTTCTATTACGTGATCTTTGCCAGCAACCAGAAGTGTGACACTTTCTAATGAAATGTTTACATAAGAGCTTGATTTTGATCAAAACACTCTTCCTATCTTTTTCATCTGACAAAATAAAACATTGCATTTGTGCGCTCTGGATTAATTTTTTCAGATGTTTGATCTCCGATGGATGACTTATGAATTTTTTACATGTTGAATGTCAGTCAGAAATGGCTGGCACCATTACCAGCACAACAATAACAGTCAAACATCACACCAATGAAGATAAAAGGTTTATTGTGAGTCCAAGATCATGAGGGGAGATAGAACGTTCTATTTAACAACTGCAATAAAAACAAATATTTGGACTTTATAATCCAGTAAGTGTTATCATGATAAGATTCTTGCAGAATGCCCTTCTATCTAGATCAAAGTGCAGTTTATTTTAGTTTATGTATTCTTATAAGGTGATGTAATAAGAACACATATAATATGCACAAATTTGTAAATGCATGTAAATATATATATATTTTTCTTTTTTTAGATCAGTATGGATTTCAATATGCAATTCACCTATGGCTTCTGGAAAGTGGATAGCTTGTTGGAGTTGCATGTCGGAACTCTCGTCCTCTATCACTCTCAGTAGATCACCTATTCTGGCATGCAAAATGAACTAACAAATATTTTGTGGTAATGATTGTCGGTCTTTTCAAACATTTTGCTAGCGTGTGTGCTGTTTAGATAAATGTTTGCTGTAGCTCCGGATTGGACATGCATGGAAGGAGGTAAAATGCACGCCAGTCGACGAGCTGATTCAATCTTCTGGCATAAAAAAACATCAACTGTTGATGTTTGCCACTGTGTGGGTGAATTTGCTATTCCCTAAATCGTTCACACCTCAATAAGCTTGTGGAGTTGTGTTTATAAATGTGTAAAACGCTGGAAAGCAGCATGTAGTAACATGGCTCTGTGTGGCGTGCGTGTGTGTGTGTGTGTGTGGTGCATTGTTGTTTTTCCAAAGTCCACGAAATGTACCATAGCTATGTGTATAAAATACACACACTCACAAACACACGTATAAATATATAAACACAGTCTGGTTGTCCTTCAGTTGGGGCACATGCCTGTGGCCTGACTTAGTCTGTGGCTGGTGTAATGATGACAGGCTCAAAAGCACACAGATTCCAGGACCACCACACACATGACTTGGCTGGGACTCCGTGTGGTATATTATGCTGCTGACAATGCTCCAATTACTCTCAATTACTCTGAAGAATGGACATTAAATTTTTTAAATGGTTGTGTCTCAACAGTAATAAAACATACTTGTGTACAAGAGTAAAAATAGCAGTACCACAATGTGAAAGTGCTCCATGAAAAGTTAATTGTAAATACTATCCATGGTACCTTTAATCATAATCTGCCTGAGCCCATACACTTTAATCATGAGCAGTCATTACAGAGATAGAATTTCCAATATTTTCCAATTATTTATCATGCATTAAACCGATAGACTGGAATATTTCAATCCAGTTCCAGGGTTAGAAGAAGTTATTATCTTACTCTTTTTGTGCTGTCATTTACTATAAATTTAGTGTAGTTTGTGTTGGAGGTTGACCCAAGACAAATCAGGGCCAAGATCGATCATCTTTAAAAAAAAAATAAAGTTCTAAATATATCATTGCAGCTTATGCAATCACTATTTTACGAGTCTTCAAATCACTGTGATGACATAAATACATACGAGTTAGTCTTATGGACAGAGACTAACAGGTATTCTGAAAGATGTGAAGTCCAAAACCCTCCTCTACTGCCTCAAAACAACTCCAGTGTCAAAAACCATCATAATGGTTTAAGTGAAAAGCATTGTATTGACCTTTGAACCATCATGACAATTGCCTTTGCTGATTATTTACAGGGAACATGGAGGTGCTGTGCCACCAGTGATATTGCCATGAAAACAACTGAGCATCAGCTGAGTTAAAAGTTTAGAAGATTGAAAATGTGACCACAGTTTTGGTCAACAATATTCGAATGATTTTTTAAAAAATAAAGCCACTGCCTTATTTTTCCACTTACTCCAATTGGAAACTAAAGTATGTTTCAAGCAGGATGATTGTAGAAGGTGCACTGCCTCCAGACTCTGTATACAATGTAAAAAAAATATCAGAAATATAAAAATTTTGCTTCAGATGTTTACTTATAAACAGATGATTTGCATCTGTTAATAAGATGCAAATCTCTTAAAAATGGACATTTATAATGGAAATACAGGTTGGAACTTGTGCACCATTAATGTGCACCATTAATGAGCTTCCTGAGTGAAACATCCTATTTCAGAGTGGATCATAAGAAGCATTTTCGGATAAACTGTCAGAAACTGTCAACAAAGTAAAGAAGTGTGACATGAAGAAAATATTATAGTAGTTTGAGTAGAGTTACACTCTATCCTTTTTTAGTCAGGTCTATACACTGAATAAATGCTTTACAAATCTTGTCCTCAGTAAATCTTTTACACAGAAAAATCACTGGTGACAAACCTCCTCCTATTTCTATTATCTATGTGATTAATCATCGGAATCGGTGTAAAGGATACTAAAAAATAAACTTATTCTTGTCCTGTTTCCCAGTTCTTGTTAGCTGCAAATTCTGGTAACTTCTGATCTGGATTTATATTACATTACATCAATAGAGTTATCAACTGTAGGTAAGATATGAACTGTTTACAGTCTTTAAATAGAATCTTACTTAACTAAATCTTTAACATGTAAAATTGGTGATTGTGGGGGGAAAATACAGAAGTAATGACCAGTTCTTATATTCTATATCTTTTTAATAACTGAGTGATACTGCTCCAGTTGTTTGCAAAACTTAACATCTGTGTCTACATGATTCCAAACAGATAAAGAGGTCATCTGCCACACTCAGATATCAACAGAGTCTCACGTTTCCTTTGATCTGACAAGAAAATCAAGCAAAAAGTACAGTCATTTTCTCACCATCTTCTAATCTAAACAGGCCTAATTACAGGCACCCATGTGAATTTGAGAGCTTTTATAGCCTATATATTAGAGCACACAGATTTCACAACATGTCAGGAAGCAGGCTGTGCTGTGCAACTCGAGAGATTACAGAGATTGAGAGGCAAGATCCTTTTTGGGGTTGCATCACACAAAAAACGTAAGTGTTGTTCTGCACTTTAGCTCATGAATGCTGGTGCAGATTGAGAAAGATGAAGTAATTAGAGGCTTTAAACCAGATAGGCAACTATCTGTTCTGCTACATATAAATAAGTCCTAATTAGAAACTAGCCAACACCAAAGGTTTAGGTTACAAACACTCACTGCAACACACATACTTTGTTATTACCACTTTGGTGTTAACATCTGATATGACCACATCCTGTCCTGTGTTCTTCCTATGATGTAGCCTTCACAAATCACACTTACAATTCAGTTGTGTTAAAATGAACAATTTATTCTCCTGCTGTGACTAATTCTTGGATTATTTAAGGAGATATTCAGTGCATACTTTTCACAGATGTTATGAATGGGGAGTAGGTCTCGTTCAAACATTTAAAGGAATCGTGTAAATGCCTTTTCAGGAACTTTTCAGATAATCTGTTCTTTATATGGCAAATGGAAATAGGAAAAACTGTGCCAGCAATTATTCTTCTGCATGATACACTAAGGATCACATTTGACTCTGTGAGAAGAGTTGGGCACAATACAAATCAGCAAATTGACAATCACTTAACCGACTATAATATGTTTGCATAACACAGAGCTTTTCTTTAATACTAGGAAATTACTCTGATTAAAAACACTTTGCTGTTTTGTTTTCAGTAAGTGTTTTACTTTTAAGGATCAATGGTGGTGCACTTCCTTCTTCCTCCATTTCCTGTGTAAATAATTATAGGCTTCTTTCTAAATCCCTGGCAAAAGTGACAACCAATTTAAAGTACGTAAAATGTCATTTGGATAAAACACAGTGATGTTTCTAAGACTGAAGTTGTTTCTAAAGAGCTTAAGCGCACTTTGGTCTTGGTTGCCCTCCGACAGACTGTGGGATTCCCTTTAAGACACTCTAATCAGTATTTATAGTCTCAGAATAGCTTGAAGTTTCTTAAAATTGTATTATCATAAAGCAGCATAAAGTCAGATTTGATCTCAAACATCAACTAATTTTGATTTGCTTTCAATAAAAATGCCATTAGGGCTTTACACTGTACTTAAACCAATCCCTCTTCTTTCACAAATTTTTACTTTCCACAAAATAGTTGAGATTTTACTGTAAACACATCTTTCCTGCAGAGGCAACAGTTAATCACAGTTCATTTGATTAACTGTGATTTAAACCAAAATGATTTGTCATTTTGGTCTAAATATCTTCTGCAATAAGTTTTATGAAATGATGGACAGCAAGAATGAGATTATCATGAGACATTTAATAATAAAACAAATATTCACATTTTCTTTACATAGTTTCATATAAAACAATATATTTTAATATATTTATATATCACATATTTACAAAACATGCAGCACCATGTCTTTTATAATACTGGTGTTGACTTAATTCAATGGGACAAATAAGTGCCACCTACAGGATATTATTTACACTACAGTAATTTACTGCAATAACAGTGGCTCAAAGTTCCATAAAAGAGAAACAAAAGCAGCTCTGCCACTGACAACACAAATCGATTCCCCAAATCCTTCTGGAAAGTCACTTCCTGATTTCAGATTCTTCACCTGATGATGGAGAATCTGAGACGCTGGTCTCACAATGTTGTGTCCCTGCGGGTGTCTCGTTTTTCCAGGATTCATGTCCATCCTTCCGGGTGATGTGTTGGTGTCAGCAAATTTAGCAGGAAAGAATGTCTCAGGTGTAGAGTGTCTTGTGTGTGTGTGTGTGTGTGGTGTGTGTGTGTGTGTGTGCGTGCATATGAGTGTGTGTCAGCATCTTTGGTAAACACAAGATTGGAAGTGGAGGATTTATCAGTGTCTGCAGAGTCTGCACTGATTTATCGATGTGTGCCTTTGTGTGTGAGTTTTTATGCCCCTTGGTGTGTATGCGCCTGTGTGGTTGTGTCAGCGTCTCTGACAGGTGTGTAAGTTCCGGGCTGCAGTCCTGCTGACACCGTGGTCTCGGCTGACTCCGTGGTCTCGCTCGCCTTTCTCTGCCCGGCACACCAGGCCCTCGCCACAGTCGCAGCGCTGGAACAGCTCCAAGCCATGATTGCCTTTCCTGCGGTGGCGAGTGCACACCTGGCCCTCTGTCAGCACAGGCTTACAGATGCGGGACCAAAAGTGCCTTGCACAGCACAGACCCTCGGAACAGTCTGTGGATCTCAGACACGCATCACCCTCCTGGCCTGGTGACAGGAATAGAATAGACATTTGTTACATATAAAACATCTGAAAACATTCTGTTGACTGTGTCACAAAGCCGGTTATATCTGGCAGGTAACACACCTTTGACAGTGTTCGGTTGGAAGCCAGAGGCTGTGGGTGTTCTCCTTCCTTGATGCTCCATGGTGTTGTTGTGTTTATTCCAGCCAGTTGTGACAGATATGTCTGAGCTGTGAATGTCATTCACCTGACAAACACCTTTAAGAGGACAGCATATAAGACTGTTAAAGAACTGCTTGCGATAGAAGATGACAAACGGAAAGTTCGAATGCTTAACATGTAAAGTAAACACAGAGAAAACTCAAACTCCGTGAATCAGATGGATCACAGAAATGATCACATATCTGATGTCTGCTCACCATTGATGCAGCGGTTTCCTGCGCAACACATGGAGTCTCTCACACAGCGCTTCCGGCACTTACGGCACGGCAGACAAACACCCCGGGCGTCGTTGCAGAATTCATCACCCCCGCAGTCTTCGTCATCTGTGCAAGCACCTGCCTGCTGCTGCATTAAACAAAACAACAAAAAAAAAGTTAATTAAAAAGAGCCGAACATGTATTTACCCAGGGGTTTGAGTTTTACTCATTGTGGAGTTAGTTTACCTGCAAGGTGTCAGAGGGTAATTTGTGTCCCATGCCACCGGGCGGTGAGGTGCGCGGACTTGGACTGACGGTGTCTGCACCTTTCCCCGCGGCGGGTAAGGTTTTGATCGCGTTGGAGTTCATCAGGACTGCTCCCGCGTAAACGTCTCCACAGTATCCAAACAGAAAGAGCTGCACAGCCAAAATATGGTGCGCAAGGGGCATTTGCATGATACTTCTCTTCAATTCTTTAACAAACATAGAGAAAGAACGAAAAAAAAAGAAAAGAAAAGATATCCCTTATGTTATGCTGAATAGTAAAAAGTGACAAAGTCCAGACGGCGTGGGTATCCCAAAGTTTCCCAGACAGTTTCTGCACGATGCTCGGATGCCTCCTGACTCCAAAAAGTCCTGCGGTGATCTCTTTATACATGTAGACCTGTTTGTCTTCCCGCCCCTCGCTGTGCACAACAAAGGCGAAGGGGGAGGAATTTCAAACAGAGCCCCACTGTACGGAAATAGCCATCCTTTGCACAGGACTACATTTCGCGGTGTTTGTGTTAAGGTAATGACCCGCGGAGTCTGTCTGAATACCCATCAGCGGCGCGCAGGGGACATTCAGCTTGGCAAGACATGATCAGACTGTAGACTCATCATCAAAATCACTATCTGATTTATCATCTATTTGTCTAGTAAAAACACAAACTGAATAACATTTTTAAGTTTCGCTGGTATTATCAGTCCTCTTTCCAAATAAAGCATCACATTTTTGCACGTCAAAATTTTCTACACTTTTATAGAGATTACTGAGATCTCTATAAAGGATATATAATATATATATTATGACATATTATATATGTGTATATATATATTCACTTTTAGTTTGTAAGATTGTAAACATTTTCTTAAAATAAAAATTTTAAACCAACAAACAAACAAACAAAACAAAAACCTTTCATCTATCATTTCAATAGCAGCCCTAAGCAATCTTTATCACGGTCCAAAATGCTGGCTCATTTGATTCTTCGAGCCTCTTTGACATCCAAGATGACTCTAAAGTACCCTTTGGCACTTTCAGAACCAAAGTGATTGAAGTTACTTTGGTCGATTAACCACTTCATTTGATCCTTCTGATTTGCCAAAAGGTGGCAATTATCCACCAAAGTGTGCTTGGCACCAGCGGCGGACATCAATGTGTTTAGGATATGCAGGGTATTATGGGGTGTGAATAGTTTGCCGAATTAACGGACTTCAGTAGACAGGCCTTCAATGAGTGACTGGCACTTTGAGATTAAAGGCGACTCTGATCTGCCCCATGACCTGTTGGGCTCCAGCATGGAGACAAATGTCAATGAAGGGAGGATTTGTGTTCAGCAATATACAAAAAAAGGACAGACAGAGCTGGCTGGCTGGCTGGCTGGATGGCTGGCTGGCTGGCTGGCTGGCTGGGCTGGCTGGCTGGCTGGCTGCTGGCTGGCTGGCTGGCTGGGATGGCTGGATAGATAGATGGATAGATAGATAGATAGATAGATAGATAGATAGATAGATAGATAGATAGATAGATAGATAGATAGATAGATAGATAGATAGATAGATAGATAGATAGATAGATAGATAGATAGATAGATAGATAGATAGATAGATAGATAGATAGATAGATAGATAGATAGATAGATAGATAGATAGATAGATAGATAGATAGATAGATAGATAGATAGATAGATAGATAGATCATCTGCTGGTCAATTTCGAACCAATCGTCCTTGGACATCAGACAAACACGCAGTACTTTGCGCGTCTTGAATTGGTGCATATCTTTTGAAGTGGCGCTTTTATCTCCACCTTACTAAATGTCAGAGCAGGTAAGGTGGAGGTCCTTTGATGCAGTAGATCCCCTTTGATCTCCTATATGTCACCCTGTTGTTATGACCGAAGCCAATTCCCTGGCACTCCACAGCCCCCACTAAACGGATTTCTGTTGTGCGAAAAACATTGAGCTGAATCATTTCCACTTACCTCCAAAGTGCATGTCATTAACTCCAGGACTGATTATTACAATTCGCAAAAGACCCTGGCGTTTCACCTACGGGACATTTTTCTAGCCAGGCGCTCCCTCATGTGGCAGGTTTTGCAAACTGCAAAGCAAGACTCGGCATGACATTCTGATCACCTGAGTGATAGTGTTTGGTTTACTCTTTTCAATCAACCATTCAACCAGAATGTTTTTATGTAGTACCATATGTTTTAAAGAAATGACCAAATGTCCCATGCACCACAAACTGTGAATGCCCTGGTTTTGATTTCGTTCTTTCAATCTCCCTTGCCTCCTGTTCAGTTTTTTTGCTTCTAAGGTATCAACTTTAAAGACAAAATGTTGGCTTTGAATTATACCCCATCAACTAAAAGATTTCATGATAATATTAAGCACTTGCGTCCGCTTCTTTGTCTTGTTCTTATCCCTCATCAATTCAGACAAAAACTACAACAGACAAGCATGACTCAAAAGCATTGTTGTTGTTGTTTTTTTTACTCTCTCTATATATATTTTAAAAATCTGACACGTGGCACTCTGCAAAAGTAAATAACAGAAAAAAAATAACACAGGGCTAATAGAAGGCATTTGAGAACAAAAATAAAACTTCTTGGAATTGGAGAGAGGACAAACATAAGGCTTTGTGATAAACAAAAGCATACATAAAATCTTTATTAACACAAATAACATTCCAATTCTTTTTTTCATCACCCAAGAAACAATGATCAAATGACCTTAACTTTTATTAGGAAAGCCAGATATTTCAGTTCTAATAAACAACAAACTGCAGGTTGAAATTGTGTGTTATACATTGAAAACTGCAAATCATTCTTGCCTTCTCCATTGTTAAAATTTCATGGCTCTAACAAGTGATGATTGACCTTCTGGATTATGATTAATGCTCACTGGTGTTTCATATCAGGCCATAAGTGGTTGATTTCTTCAGATCACAGAAGATAAGAAGAGAAAAGCATGTCATTGCAGCCAAGTCAGGTAATTGTTTTAAAATTAGTGTCTTCATTAAATAAATATCATAAATAGGAAATGTCTTTTATTTACCAACTCTAAGCCTTAAAACAATTGGATTCTCTCCTTGGGTATTAAGTGTTTTTTTTTATAACAAAGGGTGAAACATAGCAGTCTAAGAGGACATATGTTTCTGAGGTGTACATGTTTTCATGCAGCATTGCAAAGGTCATGTGATGTTTATTTTATATGCCATTGACTTAAGGCACTTACAATCTGTTTGATTTCAAATTCAGTTGTTTTCTTAGTGTGGAGAGGTGAAGCTTGTTGGGTGACCAATGAGGGTTTGTGACAGCTGTGTCTTCATTATTTTTTTTTCTCTTCTTTTGCAATTAGCTTCCAAAACAAATATAAATAGGTTTGTTCACATGTTTGAAAAAGATGTGTAAAAAGCCATAAAATATATGTATTTTCAATCACAGTAGCATAATTTTACAATATAAAAAAAGAAAATCAAAATCAACTTTTAATTTGAATTAAAAGTGGGAAGTCCGTGTTAGGAAGTACTTTTGAAGAAATGACAGTAGGCACATATGTCTGTAATATTAAGAGTATTTTAAAAGAAAAGATAAATATAACTTAAAAAAATAAACTCATACTTCTGTTTTTTTTCAGTTAACCATGATATATACAACCTTGTACTTCATAAACCACAACATTTTCAGTAAAAAATATAGTACACAAACCCACTAGAGAACATGAGGGTCGCTGGTCTACATTGCCACAGTAAATAGGAAGTAAATAAAGTTCACCTTTTAGTGAATTGCTACAAAGAGCCCCATATTTGGGACCTTGATAAAATTTTCCTGGACATTAAGATTCAGTATTACATGAACAAACATGTTGAATGGATTTAGTGTGAAACAAGAAATTAATATGAAGAAAAACACATCATGGTGGCAGATATATTAAGTTTCGGACCTGTTTGATTTTTAGAGAGCACAGCATAACCAACTCTGAAATTCCAGGATATCTTAAATAAACCTCTGGTGGACTATGCAGGAAAACCGAAACAGATTTTATTTGTATATTTTAGAAGCCAAAGCACCTGGCAACAACTACAGAAATAATTCCTACAAAATGCCATTGCTAACACAACCTTCAAACCTGAATTTTATAGAAAAAATTTGGGATGAGCTCAAAAGAGAAGAAGGCATAAGGCAAAAACTCTAGACAATCAAGCCATATTGTGCAAAGAGGAAACTATAGCCTTGGGAAATGTTATTAGAGAAGTCCAACTATTGTCTCATTGGATAAAGTGGTTTGTATTATGCATTGGTAGCTGGAGTAAAAACAGTTGTACTAAAAACAACTAACTTAATGGTTTTTATACTGACTAAATCAAATGAAATGACAAGTTTACAATTTTGTATTTTTTTAAACTAAAATGAACTACAAATTTATTTTAAGGCATTTACACATCTTTGTCAGGACTGCCAACAAAATTATCTGGTTCTCTATAGTTGAATTGCCCTTAAAGGCATTATGAACCTGGCTGGAAGAGAAAGTTTGGTCAAATTTAGTTTGGAGAGATGGTTATATTTGGGTAAGGAGAGGTTGTCAAATTTGACTCATTTTAGTTAAAATTACATTTAGCACAATGTAACATGGTGTCAAGATTTTCACTCAAGTTTGAAAACTTACACAAGTCTCCCTTTCTCTAAAGCATGACATCAATTACATCACAAAGTAATCTGGCACAAAAAAAGAAGGTGAAAGAATCACAGTACAAAACAATAAACAGTACTGTCATCTCAACATTGCTGATCATAATTCACCAACAGCACCAAAGACACTGAAACCAGGTTCACAGTTATTTCAGAGCTGTACAAGAGCAAACGGGGGACATCAGGATTCGGTGAGCGGCGATCAGGATGTCAATGGATTTAAAAACAAAAAACAGAATGTAATCATGAAGCACAATAAAACGACAACAAATAATTTGACTCATACTAAGGTTTAAAACAGACTTAGTTCAGTTAATTTTCTTAAGTGCATAAAGACACACTGCTTCATGGAGATGCTATCCATTTTGTCATGTGTGCAGATGTGTTTGATCCATTAAGCTTTAAGCAGGGCACTTAAAGAGTAATGACTCTTTCCACTGAATGCACAGGGTTTGTGCTTTTCAAGTAGATAAAACTCATAGGAAGTGTACTAAGCGTTTTGTTTATGTCCATGTATGACAATGTAACTGGTATATTCAAACACTATGTGCCACACATAGCTTAATGCTATGCAGGTAAGCTAAATAAGAAGAGAATCGTTGACATTCAGGTTAGTCTTGAGCACTTGATAACTGGAAACTATAGTGTGTACATC